ATATTAACTTGTTCACTAACATGTCATATCATCATCAACTATGATATATCAATTACTATGTCATCATCAATTATAACATATTAACACATCATGTTAGCGTCATATGACATAAAATAATAAATGAAATTTTAAGTAAACTAACAATAGGGAAGCATTTTGAAATGAAAGGATAACCGTTACTCTTAAAAAAAAAATCCTACCAGCTCTATATTTATAGATATATGTATTTTTAACTCAAAAAGCTGAATTTAAGTAATAAATTATTGACATAATATTTAAAAAATTTTAAATAAATTTTTATTTTTTTATATTGTCAATTAAGTCATTATATTTTTATTTTTAATCAAACAAATCCTTACAACTAATATATGACTAATTCCCAACTAAGGACACATTGATAGTGACATTAACACAACAATTTAACAAATGACATTACTAGTCCTTGAACTTTTAACAGGTGTCCATTTCAATCCTTGTAACTTTCTTTTTTCAAAGCACAATCCATTTACTCTGGAAAGCAATTGATTGCAGCAATAGTTTTATGCCAAGTAATATTTGACAGATATGATATAGGATATTGCTAGTTAAATTTTAGTGGGAGCTACATGCATGTTTGATTGCTCGAAGAGCATGTTAATATTAAAAATAAAGATAAAATAAAGTATTGGATCAATTGGAGTTTATATATCTCAAAGTTTTAATTATTTTTAATCGAAAGATGGATTTGATTTCAAATTAGAGATATCGAGTAGCTATGGATTAAAAGTAACTCCCTTAAGTGGTAATAGATATAGTATAGACTAGAACGAACAAAGATCATTGAATTGAAAAGTCTCCTTCTCCAATTTAAAGGCTTTAGACTTATAATAAGGTCGTGGTACTGTACTTGAAATATGCGTGGTACTGTACTTAGCTTGGAATATGTTCTTGGACTTGATCTTCATCCATGGAATTTTCGACATCTTCCATGTGGAGCACCCTGAAGACAGAGACCGGTTGAGCAGTCGAAAAATGCTCAGGAGGACACTGCTGGATGATGCCAAGGGCGTGGTTCTTGAACCATACTAAATGAAGAGAGAAGCTGAAGCTTGGGGCTGCAATTAATTCTATAGAATGGTCCTCTACCAAAGCAAATTAAATTCTCTAGAATGGTCCTGCAAGCAAGAGTTGGAGGCTCTATAAGTATGGGGATCTCCAAAATGAAATTTTCTTTTTCAATTTTTGGTAGAAAAGAAATTCTAGAATTCTAAATTTAGATTTTTCATATTGAAATTTTAAAGAAATTTTACAAATTTCACAAATATAGTATGGTTCAAACTTGATTTTAACAAAATTTACGGCAAATTAAGGGAGGACATAATAATACTTGACGTGATTTAACTCATTTGCACATAATTCTCATTTCAAATTTTAAATTACTTTTTTTATCTCATTTTGACTTAAATTTTAAATTATTTTTGTACTAGGTAAGAAGGTTCATATAATATATATATATATATATTATTTACTAATAAAAAATTGCAGAGACTAAATATGCCTTTTTCTCTTTAGAAAATCAAAGTCAAGATCTCGTGGCTTCTCGTGGTTCTCAAACAATTTACATTTTACATCTGAACTTGGCAGCTAGCCATACCTTTACACAAGGACAGAAGGCCAAGTCACGTGCTCTCTGGAAGTGGCAGGCACATAATTGTCGCTTCAATGGAAAAAGCGTCAGACAAATACTTAGTTATATAATTCACTCAAGTAAACAGCAAAAATAATAAAAAATTAATTAATTGATTTAAGTAAACGCCTCCTTTTTGGAATTTAGGAGAAGAAGATTCAGATCCCCCGTATCATTTTAACTATGAAAAAACAATGCTCTTGCCTTTAATCATTTTATTTTAATTTATTTTAAAAAGAATATTTTAATTTATTTTTTTTAAGTAAGAATCTATTTATTTATAATCCTTTTACTAATTGGGTGTATACACTGGACCCAGCTAAAAAATTAATCAAACAAAAATTTGCATAAGTTAAAATTTAATGATAAATGATATAGATTCAGATAAGACATGAATTTACATATTTTAAAATTTAATATTTTTTATTGTATTACTTCAAATTGATTACAATAAATGAAGTAACTCGAGACATAAATATCTACATATATATATTTAACTTAATCTTTTATAAACGAACAAGTTTGATATGAAAATTTTTAAAATTAAACTATCGAAAGCGAAATTATCATGATTTTCTTTATACATGTATGTTCTCATAAGCTCTCAATCTATTTTTTTCTCAAGAGTTGAATTTAAATTACAAAAATTTTTGATTATCGGAAATCTCTTCCTTATTATCTCAAGCAGGTGGGATAATTACATGGTTGGTGATTAGGTGGAAGAGATGTACGGACATAAGGTCTGGTAGGTACACCTCGTGGACAACAAATTATTGTCGAATGTCTCCCCGCCTACATGATCAGAATGCAACCTGCTAAAAGGAGGTGGAGAAATGCTGATAACTGATAAGGTATTCACTAGAAACAAATACTTTAAATATATAGCACATTGAATGACATAACAAATGAATAGGGCCGGCTTTAGCATCAAGTCATTAAAACTCTTGCTTTAGGTGTCACAATTTTATAGATTTCATAATTTTATATAATATAATTAATTATATAAAAAATATACAAAATTTAAAACAATTAATAAAATATTTTTAAATTAAGTATCTATTATATACTTATTTTCTTTCACTCCTACCTCTTATTAATTCTCAACTATTTATCTCACTTTCTCACTTATATAAAAGTCAAAATAATTAATAAAATTATATATTCTTTTACTTTTCTAATTATGTGTTTAAATTTTTTTTTATTTTTTTATTACATCTCAATTTTCATAATATTAATAATTGTTAATTATTTTTTTTATTTTCAATGAATGTAATATGTTTTTAATGATCTCCAACTAACGGTAATTTTTTAAATTTTAATAAAAAGAGCCTCATTTAAATATTTAAATGTTTTAGGCCTTTATAGATATTAAACCGTCCATATAAATGAAGGATTCTTTAGGGAGCCAAAGGGGAGAAGGGGAAGGTCCTTCGCATTAGCGTTTCCCAAGAGATATTCTACAATATAATAGTAATTGTGAATTTAGTTTCTGCATTACCTCTTGTACAATTAATTCCAAAGGTTTTATGGCTTTTATAAGTAGTTCTGTTTATCTAGTTAAGAGGCAAGAAAAGTGAAGTCATAGATTAAGTAATTTTGTGTAATTAAAAATCTTAGGTTGGATTTAGTAGAGTATATATTTTGTATGTCAAATTATATAATTAGGTATTGTAAAATTGAATCTTTGTACTTTTCGAACTTAACAATGTCAATCTAACAAAAAAAATTTTATTATTTATGCTAGTATAGTATTTTACTGTACTAACTTAACATTGAATATGACGTAGTGTTGAACTTAATGGCGTGACATCAAAAAATAATGCAATAATGATTGTAAATAATCAAATTTTTATCTTGAGTTTTAAGTTTAGATCTTAAACGTCATATCATCATTACCACGTTAATATAGTCAAATATCATAACAGCATAAATAACAAAAAGATTTTAATATCGTTGGTTGATTGGACTAACATTGTCAATTTTAGAAAATACAGTAACTCAATTTTACAAACTATTGTTCAAGAATTAAATCCACCATTTTGACATAATACATGTACTAATTGTTTAATTTGGCTCATTTTGTATGAGTAAATATGTCAATGATTCTATTTGTAGTAAAATACAGAATTAGAAATAATTCTCTCTTATATTACATAAATTGCACATCCCTCACCTAAAAAGGCAAATAAAAAATATCAGTATTCTTAAATCTTTTTGATACGGAAAATGTATTTTGTAAATTAGAAGAAAATGTAATATCTTCAAAAATAATACTTGAAATTATGAATGTTTTAATTTGTTTTCACACAAAAATTGAGTATAAAAAAAATCAAAACTAATACTCTATCTTTTATCCAAATAATTGTCCCATACACTTCTAACTGAGACAAGCTCAAATGAGTTATTCCATCAGTTGTTCAGAATCCTAGAGAAACAAGCATAACAATGTCTTATATCCTAGTATAACGACAAAAAAAGGACACGCATTGAATTTGCTAAACACCTGAAACTTTTCTCCTGGATTTCCTCCAATGCGAATCCTTTGCTCTTCCATACCAATGTGTGGTCTGCAAGGTACAACACAGCTGACATGGAGAAGCATTTTTCTTTGCCATTGACAACAACCTTCCTTTAGTTTTCACACTTTAAGTTCGGTTTAGTTTGAGGTGTTACCCTTTTTTTTTTTTGTAAAAATTGAATAAAAGAAAAAAATGAAAAAAATGGTAAAAAATAAAAATATTAATTGAACCAAAACTATTTTGAGGACAATGAAGAGAATTTAAAGTAATAAGGTTTGATTTGGTATGCAAAAGAAGTAACGAATTTAATGTAATAAAAGTATTCAAGTTACTCTAAGAAGTAAGAAGTGTAAAGCAAAGCAACAAAAAGGAAAATAAAAATCTCATATTATATTTATATTCGTGTACTAGTGTGACCAACTATATCATTAAAAACCAAATCCAATGTACCCCTTAATTGTTGAAGTGTAAACTTTTAGCTAATTGTTCGATAATCATAGGTCATCTTCTTTGATCGAGTATGCGAAAGGGAGAAACGGTACGGCAACTACCCCAAGACTATGAAGCTGGGGTGTGTTGGCTAGGTGGTCAATCCGTATGCTACATGGCCAATAGGCAATTTTCCAAGTGGAACCGATCTCAACATGATGGCACGCTCGTCCACGTTTGCTAATTAAACCTAAAAGAAAATCACGTGGCTGTCATTTAATTGGTTGAAATTTGATTTTCTTGGTTTTAGTAATAGGAGCTGCAGACGTGTCTATATAAGCGCTAGAAGTATAGTTCAACCTTCGTCCACTTCCAAAAATCAAGTTTTTTGGCTTATTCATCACCAGAGTTGCATACATTTTCTTATTGCATTAGAACAAAAAGAGCAAAACACTTTGGCAAAAAGAAAATGGTTGTCACAAATACAGCAACTGTCGAGTCCAATTATGACCGGAAAAGTGAGTTAATGGCTATTGACAGGTCAAAAGCCGGCATAAAGGGACTCGTTGATGCTGGATTAGCAAAGCTCCCACAAGTTTTCGTGCATGATCACTTGAAACTTGAGATGGAGTCAGGGCCTACAAACGCCAACGTCGAGATTCCAGTCATTGACTTGGCAGGTGTCAACAATGACTCCACTCGACGGGCAGAGATAATTGACCAAATCCGAGATGCTTGCCAAAAATGGGGATTCTTCCAGGTGGTTAACCATGGAATCCCTGTAACTACCCTGGAGGAGACACTCAACGGTATCCGTAGGTTCCATGAGCAGGATCCTGAAGCAAAAGAAGAGCTCTACTCCCGTGATGATTCCAAGAAGGTCACGTTCAACACTAAAATTGATATGTCACAAGCCCTGACTGCCTACTGGAGGGATACCCTGACTTGTGTCATGGCCCCGCATCCCCCTGCTCCTGAAGAATTGCCTTCAGCCTGCAGGTAATTTAATTACACAATGATATCATCATTATAAAAGATAAAAATCCCATTACTCTTATTATTCTCATATACTACTAGTATTTATTATCCTAATTGTTGGGGCCTTATTTTCAATGCCTTCTTGATCACTTTGGCAGGGAGATTATGATTGATTACACAAACAATGTCATGAACTTGGGGCTTGCCCTATTCGAATTGTTATCAGAAGGTCTTGGGCTCAACTCAAATCACCTCAAGGACATTGGTTGCGCAGAGGGACTTTACATTATGGGTCATTACTACCCTGCATGCCCTGAACCTGAACTGACTATGGGCACAGGTATCCACACTGACAGTGGTTTCCTCACTGTGCTCCTCCAGGACCAAATGGGTGGCCTCCAAGTCCTCTACGACAATCAATGGATAGATGTTACCCCAATCCGTGGAGCTCTTATAATAAACCTGGGAGATCTGCTACAGGCAAGTCCATATGATACATCACTAATTTTATCAACTTTGCTGATACTGTTGTTAGTCCATATGATTTGGTATATTTGGCATATTTTTTTGAATAAAACAACTTTACTCTTGTCCTTTTTTTGCAGCTCATGACAAACAACAAGTTTATTAGCGTCTATCATAGAGTGCTGGCGAAGACTGTTGGCCCTAGGATATCGATTGCTAGCTTTTTCCGAACATATATTCAGCCAGACAACGCCCTGAGAATGTATGGACCAATAAAGGAGCTGCTTTCGGAAGAAAACCCACCACTTTACAAGGAAACCAATGTGGTCGACTACTTCAAATTCAAGCACGTAAAAGGTGTAGAAGGGACCTCAGCCCTGGCACATTTCAAGCTCTGAAAGAATATCAGGATTGACCATCAATAGATGCTTTCATATGGGTCAATAAATTTAATCCCATCTTAGTACGGGAATTAATTGTCAAGTGTCTCTTTCTATTTCCTAGCCTATGCATGTACTTGATAATAAGTAAAGTTCAAGGATGGAAGTCCCCTCCATTGTTGAATATCTGTTAGCGCCAGCTGCCTAGAGATGCTTTTCGTCTCAGCAATTCATCGATCGTACTTGTTTGTTTTTGTCTCCATTTGAGAGTGTAATTTTTTCTTGAATAGTAAAATAAAATAATAGTTTCGATTACATGTATTTTTTCTTGCATTTTTTCTATGATAGACAGGGACAACATTGAGAAAAGGAATTATAGAAAACAAAAACGTTAACCCTAATTTTCCTACTTAATAAATATCGCATATTTCATGGGAGAAAATCAATTACTAGAAAGAAAAAAGAGTAAAAATTAACCTAAAAAATATGATGCTAACTAGGTCGTGTGAGCCATATGCAGGTGAAATTTTCACTTAAGACTTTCTTTTTTCTCAGGGATTAATGCCTACGCCCTATGGCATATACAAAACTCGAGTAGCCACCATATATTTGCGTTTAGCCACCATTTTTTTTGTAATTATTACATAGCCACCATTTTTTTTAAAAAAAAACTCAATACCCATTCAATGTATGAATATCTATAATTACAAAACGAATTCATTATTCGTAATATTTAGGCCTTTTACTTACCCTTTTTACATCTCTAGGACCTTGCTTAACACATTCTTGCACATTTCCAATCATCATTTGATCTCCTTCCATATTCCTAATACACTATTATTACTATTTCCTATCTTCATTAAGAAAAAGATTTAATGGTCCTGGTATTTTCAATGATGTGCAGGTGGTGTAACGTTGAACTTCCACTTCCCTTCGGCAGAATCCTAAGCCCTGAAGAAAGCCTCCTTCATGATTTAAATCAAAAGGCAGCTGATATATACTATTGCAATGATCTACATGCGTTTTGTTCATTTTTGTGGGGATTTAGGCCTAATTTTGAAAACCTTAGTTCTGATTACTTGGTTCTGCTACACATTCTTTTAACGTTCATTTATATTATAGCTGCATCTACCTGCAATAGATTTGTTAATTTCTCATCCTCTTTTAGATGGGATCAACTTGGCAGCTGGGAGGGGGCATCTCAGAATTGTGTGTTTTGATGCATGCTTGGTTTTTGTTTTACCTCTGTTGAGTCTTATTTTCGATCAGAGTGACTTTAAGATTTAAGTTTTGGTTGTTTACTGAAACTATTTTTCGTTCCAATCTGAGGACAGATAACTTTCCCTTATGTGTTTATTCAGCCATTTCCTATTTAATCTCCTCTGCACCATGTCATATTCAGAAAATGTATTAAGCATACTACTTGGTGGAGGACATTTTAGCTTTGCAATCTCTCCTCTAAGTGCCAAGTTTAGACAAGCTATAACGTCTTGGGACAAATTAGGCTTTTGTTAAAACAACCATGGACTATTTGTCATAATGTACTTACTAATTATTGAAATTTGGAAGTTCCTTGATTACTTCTAGTGGACTGATACATTTGGATCATGGTCGCTGGAGGCGCTGCAAGTCTTATTCACACTGATACGGTGAACCCCATCTCAAGTTGGTCCAACATCTGCCAATACAAATTTCCTGGCTAAAAACCTGTTCACAAGGAGGTCAGCTTTTATGTGATTCTCAACTATTGGGAAAAGAGACCTTTGACCGTAATCTCTAATTGCTTCTTGGTTAAAACTTTATCAACCAGGTTTCTTTGGAACTTATTTAGGTTGGAGACCCGGATTATGTAGCAGAACTTGGAAACAAAGTATGGAGGTCCTAGTGGGGAGGAGATTTTGAAGTTAGCCAGGTTCATACTTGATGTATAAATCTTCTTATAATTATTTTCAGCTTCTTCTCCTTCAATTATATAGTATTTAAAATTTCTTCATCACTAAATCAGTGGAAATTAAATCTAAATCTTCTAACAATTCCTGGATGATAAATGAGATGTGTTGATACTGCAGGGTGCCACAGCAAATCCTGATGATCGCAATAGAGCCCTTCTAGTTTGGGTTAACATAGTTAAATTGACAGCGGAACCTTTTAGAGAGAACGTAGGCCATTCACATTAATTAATACAATCAACAATTCAATTTCATACCTTTCCTTCTCCTTTTCCTTTCTCCCAGACATGGATCTTCTCTGTTGCATGAAAAGAAATCAGAGCTTAGAGAAGCAAATGTGCATATTTACTCGGAAGGGGGCGGTCCAAACAATCAAACAGGCTTGGCCAAGATGCAAGCTGTGGGAGAGGAGCTCGGAGTTCCTGTTGAGGGCCTTTTGGCAAATTATTACTGGTGTTCAGTCAATCACATTCTTCACAGCCATCACTAAAGAAATTGATTTTATTCTATCCTTTCGAAAGCATTGTGTTTTGCTTATAGAAAAAGTTTGCACGCTTTATCATCTCTTTTAATATTTTTAGGTAATCAAAGCGAAGAGAAATCAAACTTTAAACATAAGTAATTCATACAAAATCTTATACTTAGAGAGAGAGATAAAATGATTAGAGGGGTTGATTAAATTACCATGATAATTGAATTACTATAAACGTTTAGTTACAAAAATTAAAACTTCCTCAACGTGCCACGTATTTGCACATGGTGACATGATTTGAACGTGTGTCTTGTTGCCCAACTCTTGTCCGGTCTTACGGAACTCCGCCGAAAGCAACTCTAAACCGAAAATGGCGGGTAGCTTGGCCAAAGATTCCTGCATGGAAAATCTAACCACCTATGACAGATTCCTAGAACTCAAAGCCTTTGACGAATCAAAATCAGGCGTCAAAGGCCTTGTCGACACTGGAATCACCAAAATTCCCCGGATTTTCCGCCGGCCAAAGGAGAACCGGAATTCGGTCAAACCAATTTCGACCCAGTTTTCTATTCCGGTCATTGACCTCGAAAACATTGAAAACCGGTGTTATGAGGTGATCGCTGGAGTCCAGAAGGCGGCAGGGGATGTTGGGTTCTTCCAGGTGGTCAACCATGGGGTGCCCCAAAGGGTGTTGGACGAGATGTTGGCGGCAGCGCGTGGATTTCACGAGCTTCCAAGGGAGGTCAAGGAAGGGTATTACACAAGGGAGACGATGAGAAAAGTGAAGTATGGGAGTAATTTTGATCTGTACCAGTCAAGTTATGCCAATTGGAGGGACACTTTGTTCTGTGTTATGGGACCAGAGCCTCTTGACCCACAAGAATTGCCTCTAGTTTGCAGGTACACTGAAATTTCCATTTCTCTTGATATTTGGAAATTGATGATGAAATGATTCAATGCTCTAAATTTTCTTCGTTTATTTGATGAAAATCATGGATGTTATATATATTTTGTTAGAATAGAAACCCTGAAGCTTGGCTATTGCAATTTACAATAACTAATTAAAGAAAGAAAGGAAACTGGACAATCTGAATAAAATTCTAAAACATTAGGCTAGAAAGACTTTGATATCATATTGTAGGACAATTCAACCTGGAAGTACAACAGGATCTTTAATTAGACTATGGGAGCTCAACAATAGGTTTTAATTTAATTTCTAGAAATTCTTAAATAAAATCTTACTAAATGTAGTTAACTTTATTCAAAATAATGAGTGGGAAATCTTGAACATCCCTTGTCCTTCGGAAAGAGAATCCCTCTCAAAGATGCGTGAGCATAACCCATCTTTGTTGTGTATGTTAATATTACGCAGAGATATAACAATGGAGTACTCGAAACGAATTCATAAATTAGGGACAACTTTATTTGGGTTGCTCTCTGAGGCACTTGGGCTAAAGCCTGACCACCTGTTTGGTATGGATTGTCCAAAGGGGCATTGTCTTCTGAGTCACTACTACCCTGCATGTCCAGAGCCTGAACTGACTATGGGAACTACTAAGCACTCTGATCCTGATTTCCTCACCATCCTACTTCAAGACCATATAGGTGGACTCCAAGTTTTCCATCAAAATCAGTGGATTGATGTTCCTTCTGTTCCTGGGGCTTTAGTTGTTAACATTGGAGATCTCTTGCAGGCAAGCTATTGTTTATTAAATTGCATTTTGCCTCTTGTCCATCTATCCATGCATCATCCTTCAGTATTTTTTTTATCATCATCATGTCAGAATTAGGTTCTTGCACATGACAACATGTTCTGGATAGAGAGAGATCTGGGTTATCTTCTTTTGGAATTCAAGGATATCATTCTTTTTCTATAAAAATCTTAAATAGAAAACGGTTCATTGTTCAACAGAGGAAAGCAAGTTAAAACATGTTAACTAACTTGTACGATTTCTGTTTGTTGCAGCTTATATCGAATGACAAGTTCAAAAGCGTGGAGCACCGGGTTTTGGCAAATCATACAGGCCCTAGAGTATCCGTAGCTTGCTTTTTCACTCCTCATTTATACCCCTCAACAAGGATATATGGCCCGATCAAGGAATTGTTATCAGAAGAAAACCCCCCTGTATACCGTGGAGCCACAGTGCAAGATTTCATTAACTACTATGATTCTAAAGGACTTGATGAGAACTCCGCATTAACACACTTCAAGTTGCAAGGGTAGCTTTCAAAAAAAAAGTTGCAAGGATAGCTACCCATATATGGCGTTCGTTGATAATTAATGCTCAAATTACCTGATCTTCAGTTTTCCATTACAACATGGAGGGTTTATGACTGTACTGTGAGCTTTTTTCATGGATTGTTATGTTCACCAATAAATGAAGGATGAGATGAGATGACCCCTCTTTGCATTGAGTTCTTACAAGATAAAATGAAAGAAAACAGAGTCATGGGAGCTTTTTTAGTCCTGCTTTCTACAGAACCAAAATCAATGCCCTCAATGAAATTGTGCGAGTCTTATTTGTCTTTAACTCAAGAAAATGGATGCTTAATTGTCGCAGCAGATCAGCTCAAAAAGTACTGCAAGAACTACAATAAAAGATATATAGTACCTTGTAGAAATGTCAGCCCTCGATGCTATGAATCTCCCATTCGTTTCATTTGTTGAAAATTGTTCTTAATACTTTTTTCCATGACATTGACGTTTACAGCTATAAGGAAAGTCCCTGGAAACGCAAGATTTTTACGTTTTAAATTGTTTTTAAGAAAAGTGTCACCTGGGTTAGTATGTGGATTGCAATGTGATGCAGAGCAGGTTAGGACCAATTCTGCAATCATACATTCAAAACCCGTTGGAAATTAAAAAATCGTTTCAGTCATTGTAATCCATGAGTCATTTTTTCTATTTTTATTCATTTCTTAGTCAAAATTATCTGCAAGAAGTACACGAAAACATAAACAATAAGGTAAGTCAGCACTTGGTGTTCAGAATCTCTCTCTCTCATTCATTTCAGTTGTTGAAAATTGCAGTTACAGAAAACATTTTTCCATGGCATATACCTCAATAATTACAAGGAAAAGTTTCATGTGGGTTAATATGTATATAGATTGAAATGTGATGCAGAGTAGGTTGGGACCAATTCTGCTATCATACGCAACGCCCGTAGGGAATTGAAAACAATCGCTTAAGTCATTGTAATCCATCAGTCGTTTGTCTTTTTCAATTCATTTTGTAGTCAAACTTATCTTCACAAGAAGTGCTTAAATTCTCGGAGGGAGTCTTTTAAATCCTGTAAGAAAGAAGGAGCATATCAGGCGCCAGTGAAAATGGCATCAGAAATCTCAGTGGAGTATAACAGAAGTAAAGAGTTGAAGGATTTTGATGACACAAAAGCAGGTGTCAAAGGACTTGTAGATGCTGGCGTAGTTAGCATCCCCAAGATTTTCATACGACCAGCTGAGGAGCTTGCTGAGGAACTGAATTCCTGCCGGACAAACTGTGAAGTTCCAATCATAGATCTAACCAACATCCAAGAAGGTAGCCGGCGTAAGGAGATTGTAGACGAAGTGAGGGTGGCATCAACAGAGTGGGGCTTTTTCCAAGTAGTTAATCATGGGATCCCTTTAAGCGTGCTGGGAGCGATGATTGATGGGGTGCGCAGGTTTAACGACCAAGATTTGGAGTCGAAGAAAGAGTTCTATTACCGTGACCCCACAAAGAAAGTGAGGTTCCACTCTAACTTTGATCTATATGCATCACGAACTGCTGACTGGAGGGACACTTTGACCCTTTCTTCCCTTGATTCCGGTCCTCCGCCTGAAGAATTGCCAGAAGTGTGCAGGTAACTGAAAACTAACCTAATTTTTTTCTTTGTTACCTGCTTGTCAGTCAATTCGGACCCTGAATCACTTTTGATTAAGCTGAATATCTCAGATTATTTGGTCATTAAATCTTTTTTTGTTATCATGATAATATCGAAATTTTAAAATTGGTCAGAATCTGTCATATGCTTTAGATTTTTATGACCAAACCATAACTACATGATTAGTGGGACTTGAGCCAATATAGGAGCATAGATTAGTACTGAATATTCCTAATATCTCTCAAAAATCAATGCTACAGTTGTACTACTGAACTATTATGTAAATTTGTCTATTTATCTCAGTTTTGCTGTAGATGTTTCTTGCTCTGTTTGTTTATATTTGCAGAGAATCAACATCAGAGTTTACAAAGTATATCAGAAAATTAGGAGAGACTTTGTTTGAGTTGCTATCAGAGGCTCTTGGGCTTCAAGCAGACCACCTTGTCTCATTGGGATTTGCTAAAGGGTGTAGCATTGTGTGCCACTACTATCCAGCTTGCCCCCAGCCGGAACTGACTTTGGGAGTAAGGAAGCATGCAGATCCTGGCTTATTGACTGTGCTTCTGCAGAACGAAATCAACGGCCTCCAAGTCCTTCATGAGGGCCAATGGTTTGACGTTCACCCCGTTCGAGGAGGCTTGGTTGTAAATATCGGAGATCTGCTTCAGGTTTGCTTCACATGCTTCTGCTTCATTAAACTTTCCTTTTCACATTAGCCACTAACTATTTACGCCGTCATGGTAGATTGTATCAAATGACAAGCTCAAGAGTGTCAAGCATAGAGTAGTCGCCACTCATGTTGGACCAAGAATTTCTGTGCCATGCTTTTTCTCAGGACATTCTAGCTTGCTCGATAAGCCTTTCAGGCCAATCAAAGAGTTGACATCAGAGGCAAATCCTCCTCGATACAAAGATGTCGTGTTAAGGGAATATGTTGCCAGGTTTTTATCTGGCTCACTTGATGGGAAGCCTCCTATTGATTACTACAAGCAATGAATATAGATTACCGTAAGCCATTCAGCTAACTATCAATGCCAAGGAATGATATTTCCAATGGCAAGCCAATCCCGAAGCAGGTTAAGCATTTAAGCATTTGTAGTTTGTGTGGAGTCTTACTAGCTTCTATTAGTTTGTGTTGGTCATGTCTAAAATTACTATACTCTGTGACATGGACACCCCCCCTCATATTTTGTCAATAAAATAGCTCTATTTCTTATGGCATGTTAAATTAATCTTTAAGTATTAAACAAATTTCAGAAAGGGATACAGAAAGATGCCAAGAACTAAAGAACACCCTCCTCCAGCCCACAAGCCTCGTTCCACTCCGTTCTCTGTCACAAATTAGATTCTCTGGTTTCTGATAAATGATCACCTCGTCAACTGGTTGAATTCCCCGCTTACAAGTTTCTGCTCTGCAAGCCTTAAAATAACATGCAGGCAGCTGTGCTCATTAAAACATAGCAGAAAATTAAAATTGAAAGGCATTTTATTCGTGCAAATGAATTGATAATGATCAACATTCATGAGTTTTTCTAAAAGGTAGGAATCAGCATCCACTTCAATCAGTTGATTGGTCTTGATTTTAGAGTAAAGTTTATCAGAATGACACTGTGACAACTTGTGTTTGTAATCAAGTTGTACAAGGCATGGCCTGCTTCTAGATTCATTCGTTTAAGGTACAATACACATCCTACAGGGTGAAAAGCATGGCTGAGCAAGAAAAATAGCCTTATCCCATAATTGATTAACTGCCTTTGTTTAAGTCTCTTTCTACTTCTTGTCAAATTACCCTCCCTCATGGACAAGACAGAGAGTCATAAAGTAGACAGATGAAGATAGATATGATCAACTTGGATTTTATATTTACAAATTGATCAGAATATTAACCTGGATTGAGAAATGTGCTCATATGTTTGATCAGAACATTTCAAAGGTTTTTTTTTTTTTTTTTGAAAGTTAAATTTTCATTAACTGAATGAGAGGGCACCTTGTTGCTCTTAACTTTTATTCCACCTTGTGTTATCCCACATTTATATAAACATATTTTTCCTTTTTTTTTTCTCCTTGTCTCTCTTTTTATTTTTTTATATATTTTATATAGTTTTCATTTTGTCCTATAATATATATACACTTTGTTATGATTAGATTTTCACCTACATCAGCTCATTGACCATGGTGGCCATGCCTTCTATCCATCATCCCTTAATCATCACTTCCACTAACATTACCTCATCCACTTTCAACCTTGCGATCGACCACACTTTTTCCTACCAATCAGCAGCAGGGAAGTGTGATCATCTTCAAGGAACGCACTTCCCCGCTCCCCCCACTACATTGCTTAATTGGGATACATCTCCCACAAGTTCCACCCCGCTACATTTCCTTTCTTTTTTTTTTTTTTTTTTTTGAGTCTACTACCTTACCTCACCGGATCCGGAACGATCCCCGGGACCAATAACACCGAGCAAGATAAAAAATCCCTCCTGGCACTCATCGTCGCCTTAGCCTATATCCCTATCGCAAGAGTTAGCTGGCAAGCATCCGAATCCATCCACAACCACCATGTCTTGTGTTCTGTAAACCTGCACGATACAAAACCTTGCGGCGCACCTAGTCCACAAAAAGAAGCAATCAATGGAAAGTATAAATCACACAGTAAACCACTTGGTACTCAAGGTTAACAGCCAACCTCTACCACCCTGCCTCCGCGGGCCCGGCCAATATCCCTAATTACCCCCTTACCCCCTCCTCTTAAAAATCCCCAGATTCATGGAAAGCAAGCATTAATGCATCCCGGACTGCATCCCCGGATTTGGCAAGACTGTCCGCAGCATAATTTGCCTCGCTTAAAGTATGTATTACATCCCGACTCCTTCCCTTTGCTTTCAAGGCGTCAATTGCAAGCATTATAGTTCTATGGGAGAGTCAAGAGGTTTAGAGCGTCACTTTACTGTATTGGTAGAATCACTCTCAACAATTGGATTATGCGACAAAACCCATTTGGATGCGACAAAAATTGTGAGAACCTCCTTAACTGTCGACATTGCCGCCCAGCCCAGTTTGCATCTCCCAACATTTCAAAGGTTGATTAGTTTAAATACAGAAGTTTTATTTCCCAAGTAATTGGCTTTGACCGTTATGTTTCATTTTAAACTTTTTCAATACCTTCCATTTCTTTAACGTACGTCATACTTCATCTTATAGACGAAGTGGCAAGCTTACCTTCCATAAAGGGATCTGAACTAGCAGTGGAAAAAACTCATCTCAACTTGAAAGAGAGAATGAGTTTTTCAAATACTGGAGAAATGGCATCCCCAACCTCAGTTTACAACAACAGGACTGAAGAGTTGAAGGCTTTTGATGACACAAAAGCTGGCGTCAAAGGACTTGTAGATGCTGGCATAGTTAGCATCCCCAAGATATTCGTACTACCTCCAGAGGAGCTTGCTGAGGAACCAAATTCCTGCCAGAAAAACATTGAAGCTCCCATCATAGACCTTAACAACATCGAAGAAGGTAGCCGGCGTAAGGAGATTGTAGATGACGTTAGGATTGCATCGGAGAAGTGGGGATTTTTCCTAGTAATTAATCATGGGATCCCTTTAAGTGTTCTGGATGAGATGATTGATGGAGTACGTATGTTTAATGAGCAAGATGTGGAGGTGAAGAAAGAGGTCTATAGCCGAGACACCAGGAAGAAAGTGAGATTCAACACTAATTATGATCTATATAAATCACGAGCTGCTGATTGGAGGGACACGCTGACCATTTCTTTGCTTGCTGTCGATCTTGACCCTGAGCTATTGCCAGTGGTGTGCAGGTAAATAATCTAATTTGTTAGTTTTGTTACCTGTCTGGATTCATCTCTCACACTGAATCACATTGTTAAGTGTTAATGATAAATTCTCTACTCAAAACTGTAGTATATATGTAATGATCCTGATGAATGCAGCGCTTGAAGCCATCTTCATTTTGTTGGATTTTTTCAGCAAATAATATGCATGAAAATAAGAATCTAAGTCTTTAGCAGTTGGATTAAATTGGGCTAAAGTTCAAATTGGATTATGGTTATGTTTTCAAGTTTTGGTTGATCTTGTAATTTAAATAAATTAATAATATATAATTATATTATTATTTAATAAAAGTACTTTGCACTTCCAGTGGCAGTTGACTAATAAATTATTTTAATTCAAGTTTAATTTTTGAATTAAACAGTTGTTAATTAACTTTTAATTGTGCCAACAAATTTCTCTGTACAAAAAGAGCAGATATGTTTGTAAAAAAGACATTTAATTGTGTTTAAATAAGATTCTTCAGGTTAAAAAAATATACAAAAACAACTTTCATTCAATCTCTCATTCACTTAATATTTTTTCAGATTACTTATATATTGTTTTGTTATAAAAAAATACTAAAAAAGTTAAATAATTTTATTCTACATCAGTGAGTATTCAGTGGAATGATTTTGTCAATACAAAATATAATCAAACACGAGGTTTCATTATATTTTCGATGTTTAATAGCATAAAACCCTCTTGCACTCCAATAATTAATGGAAACAAGTATAACTTTAAGAATAGTAATATTGATGCAGGCTTTAGAATCATTTCATAATTTTCTGTATTTTCATTCATGTATTCCAACACATTTTTCTTTCTAGATCATTAGTTATCTCTGTAACTACTCGTTAGAGGATGGTATACTCATCTCCGATGCTGGAATATTTAAGTAGATGGTTCTTGTACTATTTGTTTAAATTTGCAGAAAATCAACACTAGAGTATGTTAAGCATATCAGAAAATTAGGAGACACTTTGTTTGAGTTGCTATCAGAGGCTCTTGGGCTTCAAGCAGACTACCTTGGCTCGATGGAATGTGCTAAAGAGGGCACCCTCGTGTGCCACTACTATCCAGCTTGCCCCCAGCCGAAACTGACTTTGGGAGTAAGCAGGCATGCGGATCCAGGCTTCTTGACTCTGCTTATACAGAATGAAATCAGCGGCCTCCAAGTCCTTCATGAGGATCAATGGTTTGATGTTCATCCCATTCAGGGAGGCTTGGTAGTAAATATTGGTGATCTTCTCCAGGTTTGTTTCTGATGCTTCTGCTTTCATTGAACTTGCCTTTTTACAAAGCCACTAATTTTAATGTCGTTACCTTATAGATTGTATCAAATGAAAGGTTCAAGAGTGTCGAACATAGAGTAATTGCCAACCATGTTGGACCTAGGATCTCTGCCCCATGCTTTTTCGCAGGACCTCTTAGCATGCCTGAGAAGACATACAGTCCAATACAAGAGTTGACATCAGAGGCAAATCCTCCACGATACAAAGAAATCCCGTTAAGGGAGTATGTTGCCAGATTTTACTCTAGCTCACTTGATGATGAGAAGTCTCCTTTAGATTATTACAAGCCATGAAGGTTAAGCGCTTTTTTTATTTTTACTTTTTTATATGAGAAATCCCGTCATGCTTTTTTTTCATATGAGAATGAAAAGAAGGTTAAGCTTTTGTAATTTTTTTCTCGCTAGTTTTTATCTGTTTATGTGGTCATGTCTATGCAACTTTATACTATGACTATGCTAATTTGTTCAATAATAAATGACTGGGAAGTTCCCCCTGTAAAGGTAAAGATTAAGGAAGTTTTTTTTTTTTTTTGAGAATATTAAGGAAGTTAATTGATACTGCATATAGTTTTTGGAACTATGGTAATTTATGGTAGTTTGAGGAAGAAAATAAGTTATTTCACATTGTTAATCACAAAATTTATGAATTTAACTATATAAAAAACAATTATCAGATTGTCCAATTAATTAATTATCTAATAAATACTAAGGGGTAGAGGATTTTCATTAAAATGTAAATTGGTGTTCAGTAAATAACAATTTAGTCTTATGATTTTGAAAATTATTTTAATTTAGGCTCTTCAACATTTTTGAAAATTGTTTTTATTTAGTTCTTTTAAAATTTTTTGCACAAATTGACGATGAAGATTCTGACGCCAACACCAAACAAGATCGCTAGCAAACATATCAAAGTTTTTACCACCACGCCTAAGTCTGGACTTTGGATTATCTATTTCTTTTTTATCTTGGTCGCGAGCAACCAATAGTTGGTCAACAATCTCTAGCAATTGGTCACCAATTGCCAACAGTAGGAAGCCGATCACCAGTTGGTGGCAACCGGTCTCCGGTTTTTGATTTTTTAAGGGAGGAAGGTGAGAGGAGAGAGAGAAAAAAAGGAGGTAGAGAAAGGGAAAGAAAAAAAATGAGAAAAAGATGTTTTTATAATTAGAGTTTTTTAAAATGTAAAAAATTTCAAACTGATATAGTTTCGGAGAAATAAAGGAAAAAATAATAATAAATAATTAGAAGCAAAGGCTAGAAGCATGATGTGATTGTTATAAGTCTTTGGTTAGAACCTCAGCAAGCACACATCCTTGCGAGTTTGGATACTTTGACTATGATATCAATGAATTATAAGATACGCTTGAACAGAGGTCAGGCAAAGGCAGCTTAAAATTTTCATCTTTTATTAAGACAGCATGGAAATTAAATTATGAAATTTCTAACTAGACACATTATTTATTTGGTATTTCTGGCACGTTGTCTTCATCTATATGTGGCTCAACAGAACCTGTCAGGCAGCTGACATGAACATTCACTAGGAAAATTGAAATGACAGGCATTTGAGGACCAGAATCGATTTTATCTAGAAAGATGGAGATGTAGAAGCAGCATTTCATGTCTTTTCAAGGTGATTAAAGCTCATACTATAAATTATACTACACATCTTCAGGTATGGGGATCCAGATACAAGGCTTGGTTTTATGCCTAAAATTTGCTTGATAGTACTAGAAAAAATAATACTAAAAATGATCAATCTCACTTTGGTAAATTCGTAATGATATTGTTTGAAAATTAAACACATCTGGCGTTTCAGAAACTTGACTGAAATCCCCCGTTTGCATCTACGACAATCATCTATATGCCTTAACAAAGCCACCTAACTGAAATAGATCCCATTTGCAGCTCTAACCCCATTTTTTTAAAAAAAAAAGAAAAAAACCATTGGCAGACTTATGTTTTGTCTTAAAAAGTCTACTTTGCCTATAAGTTTCGAACACATAGACTGGTGGTTAGTCGATACTTCCAAGGACTGCTAACATTGATTTCGTTGAATAATTAAAGAATCCTTGTCTTTACTGATCTGAATCACTGTAGGTGGCCACTCGGCCTTCTGGCGAGTGCTAAAGCTTGCGTCGTCTATTCTTCAATGCATGTATTTCTTTGTCGCAACTTGGTTAATCAAATTACAACCCCCAATAAATTTTCTTTCATTTCTACTTTTCCCCGTCCAAAGGTTAAATAATTATATAGATTCAAAGTGAACTCAGCTGTCACTAGTAGGGACATTTGGTCCATGTCTGCCATTGTGAGAGGCTTATTAGTTAAGCTAGATGCAGATTTAAGTTTCAACAAGTTCAATTTTGTAATGTATATGCAAAATGCCATAAATTTTCACCTGGAGAGCAGCAAACTTTGAAGTTCTGAAACCAGAAAAAAGATGAATACTAAATTCAGGATCAGGCCCACAATAGTCAGTACTTGATCCTCAATTGCAGTTCAAAAAACATTAAAACATTGTGCTAAATTCCTGGATTCAAGCCTCAAATATGAATATTCAGGTTTCTAAGGCGGCCATCAAGAAGGATTAGTTAATTTCCACCGGCGTTAGGCTTGAGGCTCGGAGAGAACAGGAACTTTTGTCCGATCCGGGAACATCTTTTGTCTAATCAGAAGGTCAATGTGAGTTCTGGACTTTGCAAATGTTTTTATTGCTTTTTAGGGATGCTTACGTGCTGCCTATTGAAGAATTACTAATTAAATATCATTAATTTCATCGAATCATGTAATTTTTTGTTAAAATATTGGAACTAGCTAATCAGACCGAGGAACAAGAGCAGAACACGTTTCCGAGTAGGATGTCATACATATAAATATCAGGGGTACTCAGAGTCATACCTCCGCTTCCCTTCGAACTCAAAATTGAAAAGACAGAAACCTAAGAGAGACCATTTAGCAGCTTCTGATTATTTTTAATCATCATTAGAAAATATCATAATTGCGTGTACAGAGAGGAGAAATAGAGATCTTAGGCAATGGCAAAAATGAATCAGATTGTGACAGAAAGAAAGAACTTACAGCTTTCGATGACACAAAGCTTGGTGTCCAAGGACTGGTGCATTCCGGGGTAATGAACATCCCCAAAATGTTCCTCAGATTAGCCAACGAGCTTGCTGAGGAATTGAATCATCCCCAGACTCACATTAGACTTCCTGTCATAGACCTTAATGGTCTTTTAACTGATCAACGCAGGAAGATAGTTGATCAAATCCGGAGTGCATCAGAGGAATGGGGCTTTTTCTAGTTGGTGAACCTTGGGGTACCTCAAAGCGTATTGAACGGATTAATAGATGGGGTACGGCAGTTTCATGAACAAGATCTTGATGAAAAGAAAGAGTTCTACTCACGTGATCGGGCAACAAGAGTGAGGTTTAACAGTAACCACGATTATCCGATGGAGCTGATTGGAGGGACACGTTGTCCGTTTCCATGCTCACTTCGGATTATGTTGACCCCAATGAAAAGCAATATGCAGAGAGTACTCCCAAGCCGGGTACCAAGAATTTCTGTTATATGCTTCTTCGAGGGGCATGTGGCTCCGCCTGCAAGGCTCTGCGGCCCGATTAAGGAGCTGACTCTGACGGTTCCAAGTACAGAGGGCTCCTTGTAAGTGAATATGTTTCAAGATTTTTCACCAGAGGACTTCATGCAAAGCCTAGCCTTAAGGAATACAGGCTGTGAAAGCTAGAACTCATCCAAAGCAGAAAAACTGGTTGTCTGCATGGCGCTTGGTCAAACCAATAAACAATGAAGCAAAACTACACCTGCAATTTTTCATTTTACTTTTGTATTTTCTTGGCTTTGTTAGACTCATGTCCTCAGTAACTAATAAGAGTATAGCTAGATGTTACGCATCTGAAAATCCCATTCAAGTTTGGAGGATAACTCTGTGCTAGGAAGCTGTCCAATGATTGATTTGTGCAGTAAAATACCGGACTGAATTTGCAATAATACGACCTAATTCTCTAAACATTTTTTTAAAAAATTTTACAGCTCAATATTTATAAAGTTGTTATGTATTTATTCAGTTATTTAGAACTTAAACTTATATATTTAAAAAAAATAAAAATTACTTTCAAGTATTTGATTCAACGATAAATATATATATTTATTTAAAAAAGTAAAATCGAACTTCTTTTTTCTAAATCTAAATATAAATAAATTTACAGATTCTGAACTAAAACTATAAAGCTGTGCCTAGATAGCAAGATCAGTCCATTTAAGTTGCACGTAGGGATTTTACATGAAACTAAATAATTATAATATATGTTCATGAAAGATAATGATTTCACTAAGATGTAAATTATCTTTTCTGAATATTTAAGAAAATAAAAAGAATAAATAGCAAAAACATTAAGGAGATAAAATCTAAAACAAATTAAGAAGGAAACAAATGAAAATGTTTTTAATAATTTCTTTAGAAAATAAAATGTGATTATATTGATAAAATATTGCTTCGTCTTTTTCTTTTCACATATAATTAATATTAAAAAAAACCCATTACCTAATTAAAAATTACATTAAATTATACAATGAATTAAAAAAAAAACATGCATTCTTCCCATCGCCTTTTCATTTGTAGTCATAAAATTGTAAATTTAGGATCAATTAATGTATACTTTACCAATTATATGGTAGTATTAAATTAGAAAGTGAAAGAAAAAAAATGATTGAGAAAATATAGATAAGTGAAAGCCTTATCCAAAATCCAAACCTAATGTCAGCATTATCATTAATGTGGGGCTTATTTGAACAAAAACAAAAAGTTAAATACAAATCAGTGAATTACCCATTGTTGTACTGACAGAAAAGAAAAAGAAAAAAAAAGGCTAAAGCGTCGTAAGCACGCAAAGAAAGTCGCGTGAGACATCATTAGTTTACAGTTTACACTTCACCCACTGAGATGAAGTTTCTGTTCAGGCATAGTTAGGTAGTTGAAACTTGAAAGTATTTGATGCGTTTCTGTTAAAAATAGAAGTGACAAGACTTTTGTCTTGTAATAACAATATTGGCAATAAACCTGTTTTTTTCTAATGATTTTTTGGTTTGACAATTGTTTTCCTTTTTCTTAAGTTTGTTTCTTGTTCCACTTGTTCATGTCATTCCTCTCTTTCTTTTGTCTTTTTTTTTTTATTGTACGGGTTCTACAAATTCCATAATTTAATTCATAAGTAACATAACCCTGAGAAAGTTTATCATCAAATCTTCCAATCTTAGTTTCTGGGTCCTTTTTATTTGTCTTAAAAAGGCTGGTTTTTCATTTTATATGGTTTGTTCTATGTTTAGATGATCTATGGGGATTTAATAAAAGAGTGTTCTTTGGATTTGGAGGTAGAATAAAAATGAGGGTATTTCCTGGAAGTCCAGGGACGCTGACTAGCCTCCTTTTGAGGGTTGCACAATGTGTTTTTGCAGCTGGGTCAATTGCTTCCATGGCTACTACTTCTAGCTTCTTCAATTTCACAGCTTTCTGGTATTTTCCTTTTGCTCTTTTATAGTTTCTTGCTGAATTTATTTTACCCGTAATTTTTCCTTTTTGGAGTTTGTTTCTAAGGCTACGCTGTATATAGCTAGGATCATAATTTCCTGCCTTTTGCTTTTAATTGTAATTTCTATCTTGTGCTCGGAAAAGTTAAGAAGAAGATCATGTTGGGTTTGGAATCCTGCAGAGTGCAGAGTTTTTTGATAAGTTTGCAAATTTTGAATGGGCTGATCTGTCAATATTTATTTTTGTCTTGATCCTGCAATAAATTTCGGATTCTCTGTTGAGCCTACTGATAAAGTAGTTGAAAAATATGTTGGTATATCATTCAATTGTGAGGCTGAATATCTGCTTTCTTGCTGTATATTGTAACAGTGAGGTGAATATATATAGTTGAGAAATAAGCTGCATTTTCTAAAGAATTTTCTGTATAGTAACTAAATTAGGAATTTTTTTTGATGAATTAGAGATTATAATGCTGGTAATTTTGCAAATGTTACCCAGTTTTCATCCTCCTTATCAAATTGTTGAATTTGTGACAAAGAAGTGGTGGACTGGTGACAGCTTATGTGTTTTTCCTGACTCATATAATTGTATTAGGGACTATTTGATCATTTTTCTTATATATCTCCATCTTATTGTGTCTCTCTGGAATAAGTAATAGGGAATTCAGGTTGGGTATTTGGTACACATGGATTAGAGAAAATGAAGGGAAGATAGAAATTGATTCTTACTTCACTCATTGTCGCAGATTCTATGCTAGATATTATTTATTAAGGGATGATATATGGCAAATTTTTCTTTGCTTCTGCTTGTGCATAAATTGATAGACGAAAATGTACAGTTGCTTCAGTGTGGATGCTTTGCTTATGAGGAATTAATCCAGTATAAGTTAGATCTTGCTCTTCTGTCTTTTGCATCCTCTTAATGCACAGTATTAGGGCCAAGTATATGAGAACAGGGTTGTGCTTTGTGAAGTCACAACTGCTGATTATATTTCCTGATTACTTAGCACTTAATAACAAGTTGAGATATAATGTAGTAGGTTTAAGCTTATGATGATAAAATCTTCATCATCTTTTGAAACAATAGAAGGGATGATTTATGCTACTTCTCATAGGCATGATATTAGTTTGATTTTAGTTTGAAATTTTGTTGTCTGAGGTGTGATCAAATGTTTTATGACTTAAGCAAATTGACTAACCAGAAGTGAGACCTGAATGGTTCATGTAATTAACGGAATTCCACTATTTTAAGTATCTAATTCAAGTGCTGGAAATTTTTGTTGAGTTACTAGTCCCTACGAATAAGCATTCTAATCTTAGCTGCATTATTTGTGGTTCGCTGGCTCTTAATGGACCATCAAACATATCTATTTTCGTATCTCTGCTATCACTGAACTCCATTTGCTGTTTCTGCAATCTTATCACCAATTGGTGCAACCTCTAAGAATACCAAATGCATATATAGGGATTTCCATTCCTAAATTTTTCCCCTTAGTCACTCATATATTGTTTCTTAAGTAGTTCATATAGACTACTTCAGTGATGGAAAAACTTTAAATAGTTGGCCATTCACAACTTATGGACAAGGCAACCAACTGTGAACTTGGTTTTATCACCAGCAATTATCTTAGATATATTCCTCGGCACTGATATGGGGCTATAATCATTGGGTTATAGTTGGATAAATCTTACTGGCTTGCATATGTATGTCTCAGTCTAGAAAAACTAAAGATTTGTTTATGAAAACCCTCTTGCTTTTGCAGCTACCTGATTGCTTCAATGGGATTGCAAGTTGTTTGGAGCTTTGGTCTTGCATTACTAGATGGAATTGCCTTGGTCAAAAAGAAGGTCCTTCATAATCCCGTTCTAGTCAGCCTTTTTGTAGTCGGAGACTGGGTCTGCCTCTTTGGAACCTCTGAACCTTCTTGAATTTTTCATGAATTTCATTTATTTAAGTCACATTGTTATTAAATTTTACACAGGTGACAGCTACATTATCTCTGGCTGCAGCTTCTGCATCAGCAGGCATCGCAGTATTGTACTTTAATGACTTGGGAAATTGCAAATTTGGAGAAGAATGCCAAAAATATCAATTGTCAGTTGCCTTGGCCTTCCTCGGTTGGATAGCAATTGCAATATCATCCTTAATTATGCTTTGGCTATTGGCTTCAGGTTAAACCATTTGTTGTACAGGATTTTGGTTTTCTTCCACCTTCAAGAACGTGTTAATCTCAGAAATTTTGATCTTCTCATAGTGTCCATACAAAAGAAAAAAGTGAATATAGTTTTCTGATACTCAGCATTGTTTATTTCTTCATTAGGAATCATTTTTTTGGCTTCTGGTGGTGGCAAATAAAACATCAGTTTTGTGGATTTGAAAGTAAATAGATATGGAAATTCCTCCTTTCTAAGCAAACTAGTTGAACTACCAAAATAATTACTTATTTATGATACAAACATTTTTTTATTACTTTTTCTGGAGATGGGATGAGGCAAACATCATTATTTTGTCTATATCATGTGAATTTTAGTGGCTGAAAAGTCGAAATTCAACCGCAGTGGGTTTTGGTGAATTGGTTGCTCAATCATGCTCTTACCAACATGCTTAGACGGCAAGGCATGAAAGTTATGCCCCCTTTCTTGTCCATATTTCTTGTATAGAATGATGGACTTGCCATTTGTATGCTTGTGGGTACCCGCCCTTCCATCAAAATGTATCTGGCTGCAACTACAGAATCGTCTCTTTTCATGACAGCTTGTATGCTGAGAGCTCAAATATGGTTGGCCACTGTATGCTTGTCCCACTTCTTTTTCTTGCTGTGGTTGGAGTAGAAAAATGAATTAATATTTTCAAATTTTGTGATGGAAAATCAGTTTTGCTCAGATGCCAATTACACCAACAACTTTGTATCCATTTCACATTGCATTTGCTTTGTCAAGAGCCTAAATGCAATGCCGAAAAGGGCCCTTTCCGTTTCAAAGTGGTTCCCCTGCTCAAGCCTTGGTAGAAGAAATGTTGGATCAACTTACTGCTCTACCCCACCATCATGCATTTGATCCTTAACCATTGAATTTAATATTCCACCTTTTTCTTTTTCTTTTCAATACAATTAACATTTCAAAGTTACCCATCAATTATCATTGTTTCTAATCGTTTGACTTTTAAACCTACATGCAAGCCGTGAGACTCTACAGTCCGTGAATCATGACTTGTGATTTTCTTGAATTTGGTTCCACCAAAGATAAGCCTTAGCACTAGAAAAAAATGTAGCTAAAGAACTTCTATTTTAGACTTATATTCTATACTTGTAATGTTGTAGCATCCATGAATTTCTGGTTGTAAGATGGAAAAGTTGACATAAAAACAAAAGTAATGGCAACCAAGCCAAGATGTTGACTCAGCCCACTAAGTGCTGGAGACTAGAGTCACTATAGAGCCTTGAACTTCATTAATTGAAGCATTTTCATTGTGATTTTTCCACCTTTTGGCTGAATTGCGTGACGTGCTTCAATTATTTTTACCATAATTTGCTAGTATTGATGGGTTGACATCCAAGTGCTAACAAAGATGGCGTGGTCCATCATTTTTCTAAAGATTTATGATTCCCTGAACGCTGAACCCAAGAAAAGCAACATTTTAATGGCTATTGGACATATAGCGTAGTGCATGCTTAGTTTCCAATATGCTATATATGAATTTGAAGAAATGCCTCGTTTGTGCCAACTCTTTTTATCTTTATATATCCAGTGCAGTGTTGAATAGCTATACTTGCATGTTTTCATATTTACTTATTTCACCATATGGGGCTGTTCATTTAACTGATGCTTAACTAATATTTTCACTAAAAGGTAAAAATTAAGTAGTTTTAAGCTGTAAAATTTCATCTTTGTTTGACAATGACATAGCAAAACAGAATCCGACTCAATCTCAGCTTTTTTCAACTTGCATGCAATTGGATATATCCTTTGCGATGCGCTTCATCTTTTTCCATTGACAGCAAAGAAACAATCTCAACTAGTTCAATGTTGAAGAACCGAAAATGTCAAATCAGTTTTACACAAATGGCAAATGCAAAAACACAATGCACATCTTGACATCGACACACTGCAGCAGGCAACATAGTACATTGAAACGTCATGACAGAGGGCAGTTAAATGCAGGGCTCGAGTCTCCCCACTGGCTTTGGCTGCTTTCATATGCATACAGTTCTGCGGGAAAGACTGCTGAAATTTTCGAGGCTGGTCATAGTCGGAATCATTCCAGGAGAACCAGAGTCAGTTGTAAGTGCATTGATGCTCTATGACTCTCTCCTTCAACATTTCAGATGTATATATTTTGCAGTTTTTTGTTGTTAATTTTTTACATTAATATCAATTCAAATTGTTCTTGATGCTTCTTGTTTAAGTCTTCTTCCTTTTTTTTTTCTTTTCTGGCAAACCTACTTTGCAGCTTGAAATTGCAAGTTTTTGATTTAGTATTGTAAAACGAAAATAAACTAAAAAAAAAAAAAGAAAAACCCTGTGTGTCTAGTCTGTTATTTGTGGATGGAGACTCAAATTAAGTTATAAAACTAATTTAAGCTGTAGTATTGCTATCTCTTAAGTTGACTGGCAAAACAAAGTGCCGACTCAATTAATAAGTTACCTCTTCCTGTATATCCACAGTCATTATTTGTTAGACATTGTTGCATGCATGATTTCATGAAGAATTTTTTAGTTTTTTTTCCTTAAATTTGGTTTAATGATCAAAATTCATAGCTCGAAATCACCAAATTGAAATTAAAATAATAAAAGAGAGCTTTGAAGCTCATAAATAAAAATAAAATCAAAAGACATTCATCAATCAATGATTCTTTTTGATTTTATATAAATTGAAAATTTATGGGTGAGTAACAAAAAACTTGTTATGATACTTTTCAATCCCACATTAGATATAAATGTAACTGTTAAAACCTATATAAGGGCGTAAGTCAATTACTCAAACTTCAAAAAATCGCATGGTTTAAGTTTGAAAAGTTTTTAATTCCAAACAAATTATTTAGTTTAAGTTTGAAAAGTTTTAGAGTATGGACTTGAGTCATTACGTGATTGCCATCACACGCAAAAGCAAATACGTGAAGAAAAGGTTCATTAGTTTTCATGATTGCACAAATGGAAGCAGATAATAATAGGGATTTCATTGATAAGGTGTAAAATGTGATATGCTAGCATGTTTTCGTGATTGCACAAATTGAAGCAGACACCGATAGGAATTTCATTGATAAAGTGTTAAAGGTGAAATGCTAGCATATTTTCATGATTGCACAAATTGAAGCAGATACTGATAGGAATTTCATTGATAAGGTGTAAAAGGTGATATGCCAGCATAACATATTAAAGAATCTGGCATCACTTGTCTGAAGCTTGAAGCATATTGCTATTACAGTTGCTTGGTAACCATCCTTTTTTTTTCCTGTGTCTCCTATCTAATAACCTGTCTGAGTTATGTGAGTGAGAGACTTCGAAAATCCAAGGTTACGAGAGCATGAGAATAATTCTTCTTTTTGCCATCTGGCTTAATTAGGGAATCAATTTAGATAGAATTTTAGTCAAGAACATGATGCTAACAACAACATGCAACAAGAATTGAAATAAGAACAAATCTGCCATTACTTTTTTGAGTGTACAAATACTTGTTTGCTCCTTCAGCTTGTGAAGAAGTGATTAGGCTGGAGACTATGGCCCAGAGAGCAGGCTCAGGTTTAGACATTTACAGAAGGTTCCAGCCACATCTCCTCATGGTACTTGCTCAGATTGGCTATACTTTCCTCTATATTATCACTGAAGCTTGCTTTAATCATGGGATGAATCCTCATGTCCACATAACATATCGACACATTATAGCTGGCATTGTGATGCTCCCTTTTGCCTATTTCCTGGAAAGGTGCATAAATATTCATCATCATGTAGATATGACTTGTGTGCCAATCCTTCCTGAAAATATTTGCAATCATGTTTTATGTTGATATGCGCAACTTCTGTTCTTGCCTTGGTGCAGAAAAACAAGGCCAAAGCTGACATTCGCCCTTTTTATCGAGATATTAGTTCTGTCCATCCTTGGGTAAGGATGTCTTAAAAGTTATATCCACATTTCAGTAAAAACCAAAACAAACTAATCAAGTTTATGTTTCATCCAATTACCACAGGGTGAGTTTGACTCTCAACATGTATTTTGCAAGCTTGAGATATACCTCTCCAACTTTCCTTGCAGCAATTGTCAACACTGTTGCTTCTTTGACATTCATAATTGCAGTTGTGCTCAGGTTGGTATTCATCTTGATCAATAAATTAGCAAAGCATCCATGACTATAACCATCAGTTCATATCTAGGATCAACTTCATGCAGGTTGGAGGTTGTTGATCTTCAGAATCCTCGAGGAATAGCCAAAGTTCTTGGGACCTGTGTCTCCTTGGTTGGTGTAACGACGATGACATTGTACAAAGGTCCTGCCATAAAAAATCCATGGCATCCTATGATCCATATTCAAGGAAAGTCCGTCATTCATGAGAATTGGGTGAAGGGTTCAATTCTTACTGTTGCAAGCTGCATAACTTGGTCTATATGGTACGTCATGCAGGTAAAAACCTATGCCTTGACCAAATTAAAGCTCCACGAGACACTATAGCTAACAGAGAGAATAAAAAAAAGTAAGGAGAAAAACAAAGAAACCATAAATATATATTTGATACAGCCCTGATAAATCAATGATTAAATATAGAACGAGAAAAAAAAATGAGACGCAGAACAAGAGATCTTCTGCAAGTAACTAAAGGTGAAATGAAAGATACTGATAATTTCCACACCAGAGATGCAGACCTGTGCTTATGGTCTCCAAAAATTTGTAGGCATTTACATTGAAACGATATCCAGCACCACTGTCACTAACAACTTGGATGAGCTTCGTTGGGGCAGCACAATCAGCCGTCTTCACAGTCATTGTGCAGCATAAACCAGCTGCTTGGACAATTGGATTCAATATTGATTTCTGGGCTACTTTATACGCTGTAAGCAGGGGCTTATTCTACAGTTAAATAAAGGTAGTGAAAGAAAATTTTAGTCTTCTTGTAAAATTTCTAATTACGAATCATGCATGACAGGGAGTGATGTGTTCGGGTTTAATAATCTTCATTCAACTGTGGTGCACGGAAGAGAAAGGGCCAGTTTTCGTGACTATGTTCAATCCCCTTTCAACAATACTGGTGGCAGCCGTGGCATACTTTGTCCTTGGTGAAAAGCTTTACACGGGCAGGTAATTTCAGATTCAATTCACTCACGATTTTCTCTATACTCTATCAAGTGAAAAAACTCTGAAGAGTTCACCTGTTCAGCATTTTAGGGGGAGTAATTGTGATTTTTGGCCTGTATTTGCTGCTATGGGGCAAAGATCGTGATCAGGAAGCTCGAGTTGGAAGAGAAGAGCAACCTTACTCGGTTAATGACCAGGAAAATGACCCTAAAGAACAGAAAAGCTTTTCAGCTGAAAGGGAAGGATCGCAATGCGAACCTTGAAGAGCAAAAGAGGAACACTATAATGTAATAAATTAATAATGATAAATCCAGGAAAAAAAATAAACATTTCAAGGATAGGAGAAGATCAGGGCAAAGGAGCCAGTTCATTTCCTGGCTTCGGACAATTTAAATACATATCCGCATATTAATTAATGATCTTATTAGAAAGGACGACGGGACGGACAGTCTTAGTTTCCCTGCAGAGATTCACAGTACCAGCTTGCTTCGTCCAAAGTTCAACTTCAAGCATGGAATTCCTTGTTACTTCCTTATACCTACCCTTTTTATTCCTCTTTTTCTGGTAAAAAAACAAAAATCTCGTAGAAATCATAATCATCTATAGTAATTTGCATGGCATATCTTTGTAATTTCTTCATCCAAAGCATAACCATCAGCAGTAGCGAGCATGATACTAAGTTCCGAAAACAAGTTGCACAAAAGACTAAACTGCCTAGAACTACAAATTAAAGCAAAGTTGGCTCAATTTTCAACTAGTGTTAAATTCCAATACTGAAAATTCTGTCCAGATAAGAAATTCCAGTTCAACATTCTGAAGCAAAAGCTACTAGTGCTAAATTCCAGCAGGAGCAATAAGGGGGAAAGAGAGAGAGAGAGAGAGGTTTTGGAATTCATGTAGACAGAGAAAGAATCATTTATTCAAGAATAACAAGGGTTCTGGTCAGTCCAGCTATCCATAAACCAATGGTTGAATTCGGAATGGGATAATCATACTTCCAATAATATATTTACAGATCAACCGAGGCCAAAGCTGTGAGAGGATACACAAAGATATTTGGGATTGTCCAACAAGTCTTAACCTCAACCAATAATTAAAAATAAAAGAAACTAAGCTGCAGGTGGCCTAAGCTCATGATCATGAGACGTATCCCGTGCTGACTGAGGTAAATATTGCCACATTGGGACCAAACCATAACCAGGGAAAACTGCCATCTTACTTGCCCCAGGATGATATGCTGCTGGGTGAGCAGGAAGATACCCAGCTGGTGGGATGGTCATTGTTTTCAGTTGCTGCTCTATCTTTTCTTTATTTCCCTTCAGCACAAGTTTCTCTTCACGAAGTTCATTCTTCTCAGCCTGGTGGGGAAATGGAACGTTAACAGAAGGAAAAGGGAAAGGAAAAATAAGGCACCCAAATTTATTATGTAATCTCAAACAAAATGATAACTTCAATCATTCATCAACAGAACTGTTATCCATATGCTACATCCTTAGAGGTGGTTCTGCTTCCTCAGTAAACTCCAATAGTGGAAGTTTCTTATGCATACTTTATGGCCAAACTGCTTTAACAATATATAGCGAGAGAAAAAAGATCATGTGCCACGGTGAAGAAACCAAACTTAGAAAGACAGATTTCAAATGCTAGACAACTCCATGATCATTCCATTTAAAAGTCTCGTACAAATACAGATGATCAAAATTCAGAATGACAAAGACATGGCAATAAACATGATTCCAGCTCCACCAAATTGAGATCAAAAGGGAAAGAAAAATGTTGAGGCATATTTGATATTTCCAACTAGAACATGGAAATGCAATACCTTTTCAATTAATTATATCCTTTCAATCTAAATAATGTGCACATCATCTCAAAGTGAAATTCCCCAGAACTGAGTTACAATAAACAAGCACAAATATTGACTTCTCAATTTTCATCTAAATTATCTCCACAATCATCTGACCTATTTGACTAACCATTTCAATCATAATCACTGATTATTATATACACCAGCGAGAAATTAAGAACAAATAAGCATCAAATAATCATCATATCAAACAATAAATTGATCCATCATAATGATAAACTAAAATTCAAGTCATCAAACATTGAACAGGGTAGATAATAATAATATTAATAATAATAATAAGAAGAAGAAGCTACTTTTAACAAATTTACAAGAAGATGAGAAGTTCAAGGACTGGTATTTCACTGAACATTGGAGCTGATTATATATCTAAAATGAAGTGGATGTCTATATTTGCCTAACAAGAAAATTTCCTACCTTATACTTATTTAAAAAACTAACCTTTAAACTTTTTATTTCCTCCTGTAGCTTTTCATTTGTTTCTTTGAGCTCCTGAGCCTCAGTTCTCAGTTGGGTCAAAACTCTGATGGCATCATCAAGTATCGCCGATTTGTCTGTCCTGGCAGGTCTCCCAGGTTCCAAAATAGAGCTTAGATCCAGAAACCTACAAGAGTATGAACAAAATCTGTTCCTTTAACTTGCATCTTACCTTCTTGAAAGAGAGAAATGCAAATGATGCAAACAACTGATAACCAACTCAAATTATCATCAATTTTACAAACTGCAACCATTAACCAAAAACAATGCCTTTGGTTTAAGACAAAACAACAGGAAATATATAGAAAAGTATCAGTAATCTAAGGATACGTGCCTTTCATTCAATCTCTCACGCCTCAATTTCTCACGGCACGCTTTGGTCCCTGGCCTGCTGCATGATCCACTGCGTCCCCTAAAAAAGCCATTAATTGCAACATCCTCTTCAACATGAAGAATTATAAGAATAGAACATAGCAAAACTAAAATGAAAACTTGGAAAAAAAAACCCCCGACTTCAGATTAACACTTTCTGAATTGTATTTAACAATTAAATTACTATAAACCTACAAGAAAATAAACAAATATTGAATATGAATTGAAATAATACCTCTTGAGCGAGTAATCTCTATCCACGAATTCCTTTTCTTGATGCACAACATTTCCAGATGACAACTCAGTTTCTCTACCATCACCGCAACAAAAAAATTAACAAAATCGAATTCACAAGGCAAATAAATCTAATGAAAAAACACAAATTTCCCTCAATTAATTCAAAATTTACTGAAAAAGAAAAAACCTAGATTGAATTGAAAACAAAAAAAGAAAAGGGCACCTGTAATTGGGCAAAAGTAAATCTGGGGAAGCATTTTCGTCGATGAAACTATAATCCAGAAAATCCCAGTCTTCTATTGAATCCATTTTTCACCACTTCCACACTCCAAGATTCGCAATTTCGCATAAAATACGCATATGCGGGGTAATTGTAAGTCAATAAGGAAATGGACGGATTCGACTAGGTAAATTTGAGAATTGGAATCCTCTTTCTTTATTTGGTTAAAAGTGGCGATCGTATATCCAATAAAATTGGAGCACGTGGAGGAGTCTGAGTTAGAGAAATGACCGAGCCTCGCGCCGCCGCGTCCTTATTTTTGACTGCTAAAACTGGTTGGCAAGTGCAAGCACCCCAACTCAATTTCGGCGGTTCTAATATTTTTGTATTAGATTTTCACAAATTAGAGACAGTAAGGCACTTTTCTTCAAAATATTCCCTCTTCAATTCAAGTTGGGTGACTCTTTCCTCTTCCACTGAGAATTTTCGATGGCAAAAATGGCACATCCCTCTTTTCTAATGTTATCTATCACGTGTATGTTATGATTGATTAATAGATTGTGCTAAGCTGCAAACCTCAAAACTTAAAAAGTATGAAGGACCCAGAGCTTGGCTCATCCCAAGCAACTGTCACCTGTTGAACAACCCATCTTCATAGAACATACTCTCCATACTAATATGCAGAATTTTATTGAACTGGGAAATGTTATAGACTTTCATTTCTGTAAACTTTTAGTTTGAGTTCGGTGTGATCAATTATTTGAAGAAGCTAAGAATCAGCTGGACCACTTGTCAGAGAAGTGAGGAATTTTCAAATTACATGAGCTTCATTTTGAAGCTTGTCGATCAGCTCATCAACCGATGACAGAATTACTCCTGCTTTTCTCTTGGGCGGTTCTGTGACTTGAACGACCTCTAAGTCAGATTTGATTTCCACATTCAACTCTTCCGGTGAATATTTTTTTATGGGCTTTGATTTTGCCTTCATTATGTTGGGAAGGGTTGCATATCTTGGCTGGTTCAGTCTTAGATCAGTGCTGCAGATGACAGACAAAAGTCAACGTTAACATGAATTTTGTTACACAAAATGCATATGCACAAAAACTAGAAATGACAATGCAGACAACTGATCGTTAATAACAAATTATTTCGAGTATTATCTTTTATAGAGATTACCAAAGGCAATTGGTTTTTGTTTATGTGGTGGAAACCTATGTATGATTTGTTTTCTCCAGAACATTTGCTATGCTGCAAATACAGTACCCCCATCCCAACACCACCACCATAACTGAAATATATAAAATAAAACCTAGTGTACAGCTTTTGAACAGATTCATGAGGTTACATGCCTGGCTGCATGAAAAAAGAATTCATGAACTCTTCCAGTCCTTTCTGCCAAAATCACTACACGTTATTTACAAAACCAATTTGTGGTTCACAAATCACAACAGTACAATACTTAACATAAGTACTTTAAATAATTAACAAAATTCGTATGTATTTGTATCACATGCAACCGCTAAATGGAAAATCTTCAATATTTCATTGTCATTAGAACAGCTTCAATGAGCCAGACCCAAATAATGGATGTTTTACTACCTATAAATGAGCATCAAAATTTGATAGATCAGGCACTTACGTGATCACAGCAGGTAAGTCCAAACACAGTGTTTCAAGACCACCATCCACCTCTCTATCTACTGTTGCCACCTGTTTCTCCTTGTCCAGCACAACCTACTAAAAAGCAGCAGTTAGAATCATAAAAACATTTGACATACAAACAGAGATATTAGATATGAAAACCACACAATATGAGAGTTACTTGTAAGAATATCAGCCAAATTAATAGTAATAAGAATAAAAGCCCATACAATTCTACAGCATTTCACCTTGACATACTAATACCGCTAACATCCAAACAATCTTGAAAACTCCTCTTATGACCTTTGGTCAGTTCTAATCAAACAAAAGATGATTGTAAATCAAAGAACAAGCTTCATATGAAGACATATGTTGTCAACAGAGAAAAAAAGACTAAACAAGAATGCAGCAATAGAAGAGTAGTTCCTCAATATGTCTACTGCTGAACTAACCTTTGAAGCAAAGGTTCCTTGCGGCCATCCAAGCAACCCAGCTATCATTTGCCCTGTTTGATTGCAGTCATCATCAATTGCCTACACAAGAATCCTGATAATAAGAAACAATGATTTTCCAAAAGAATTTCTCCTACCAAAGAGGTAAAAAAGAACAAGAAAACAAGTTCCACTAATAAATACTAACAATCCAACAGACTAAGATAAAATGTCCAAAATCCAGAAAATTTAACAGCAACATACTCATTGAAGGC